GTAGCACTGGGCATGAAAGTCAGCAGCAGGTGGATCCTGGGCATGTAGGTGGCAGCTGGCAGACCCCAGGCGCAGGGTGACAATGGGTAGACCCAGCAAGGAGGCAAATGTGAAGCAGGTATGATGTGCAAGGCAGGTAGCTAACCAGGTGGTCACACATTTACGTGCAGATAAACCAGGCAAAACTGAGGAGCGAGACAGACCATGCAACTCAGGGTCCCAGTGTAGGGGAATAAAGCCTCAAAACACCAATTGAAAACACCTGTGGGGGTTGAGTTGCTGGGAGAGACTCCCAGCCTCACAAGAGAGTTCATTGGAGAGACCCACAGGGTCCTAGAACGCCAACAACTCTACCCACAAGGGATTCAGCACCAGAAAGGCACAGTTTGCTTGGGGGAAGTGCAGAAGGGACTGAAATCCAACAGAGAGCGAAGCAAGCGCTATTGTTTCCTCTCTGACCCCTCTCCCACATACAGCATCACAACCCAGTGACTGGGTTGCTCCTCCCTGGTGAACACCTAAGGCTCCTCCCCTCATACATAACAGGTGTGACAAGACAAAAAATGGCCCAAATGGAAGAACAGATTAAAGCTTCAGAAAAAATACAAATAAGCAACGAAGAGATAGCCAACCTATCAGATGCACAGTTCAAAGCAATGGTGATCAGGATGCTCACAGAACTGGTTGAATTTGGTTGCACATTAGATAAAGAAATGAAGGCTATACTAAGTAAAATAAAGGAAAATGTACAGGAAACCAATAGTGATGGGAATAAAACTGGGACTCAAATCAATGGAGTGGACCAAAAGGAAGAAAGAACCATTCAACCAGAACAGAATAAAGAAACAAGAATTCAAATAAATGAGAAGGCTTAGGGACCTCCAGGACATCTTTAAACCTTACAACATCTGAATTATAAGGGTACCAGAAGGGAAAGAGGAAGAGCAACAAGTGGAGAACTTATTTGAACAAATAATAAAGGAGAACTTCCCCTACCTGGCTAAGGAAATAGACCTCCAGGAAGTCCAGGAAGCTCAGAGAGTCCCAAAGAAGATGAACCCAAGGGGGAACACACCAAGGCACATCATAATTACATTAGCCAAGATGAAAATGAAGGAGAGAATCCTAGAAGCAGCAAGAGCTAAGGGGACAGTCAGCTACAAAGGAGTTCCCATTAGACTCTCAGCTGATTTCTCAAAAGATACCTTGCAGGCAAGAAGAGGCTGGAAAGAAGTATTCCAAGTCATAAAATGCAAGGACCTACATCCAAGATTGCTCTATCCAGCAAAGTTTTCATCTAGAATGGAAGGTCAGATAAAGTGCTTCCCAGATAAGGTCAAGTTCAAGGAGTTCATCATCACCCAGACATTATATTATGAAATGCTAAAGGGACTTATCTAAGAAAAAGAAGATAAAAATATGAACAATATCTCACCTTTAACAGGAAGCTAAACAACAAAACAAACAAGCAAGCAGAATAAAAACAAAGACACTGAAATAGAGAACAAGGGGACATTGACCAGAGGGGAGAGGGAAGGGAATTTAGGGGGGAAAAAGGGGAGGGATTTGGAGGAACAAGTATGAAGGACCCAGGGACAAGAACTAAGGGGGGTGGAAATGGGAGGGAGGTGGGGAGCACGGGGCGGGGTAGGCTGGGATGGGAGAAATAGACAGGAAACTCTACTTGAAAAATAACTAAATAAAATTAAAATAAAAAATAAAAATATGAACAATAAAATGACAACAAACACACAACTATCAACAAATGAACCTGAAAGAAAAGAAAAACAATGAAAACAAAAACTAAGCAAACCAGGAAAAAAGGAACAGAATCAGAGAAATGGACATCACATGGAGGGAATTTCAGTGGGGAGGGGGAATAGAGAAATAGGGGGGAAAGGTACAGGGAAGAAGAAGCATGGTTAGTAGGCATAAGGTATATGGGGAAAGATAAAAATTGGTATAGGGAACAGAGGATTCAAAGAACTTATATGTACAACCCATGGACATGAACTAACAGGGGGAGTGCTGGAAGGTTGCAGGGGCATGGCAGAGGGAGAATAGAAAGGGAAAACTGGGAAAACTGTAATAGCATTATCAATAAAAATATTTAAAACAACTTTAGTTGGTAGTGTTTGATGTTTCTTCCTTTTAATTAAAAAGTGAATGATGAATGAAATATTTTATCATTCTTTCTTTTAAAACAAAACAAAACAAAACAAATAGTGCATATATGGTACAGATAAAACCTACCTTTTTTCTCCTTTTTCTTCATTATTCATGAGGTAGGAAACACACAGACTCAATAAAAATTTTCTTATAAAGTTTGTGAGAGTTATCAAAATCTTAAAACACACACAAATACACACATCCCCCAAATCAAAGAAAGCCCAGGAACAAAGCAACAAAGTGAGCCCTGGCTGGTGTGGCTGGGTGAATTGAGTGCCGGCCTATGAAAGGAAGCATCACTGGTTCGATTCCTAGCCAGGGCACATGCCTGGGTTGCGGGCCAGGTCCCCACTGGGGGACACATGGAAGGCAACCACACATTGATGTTTAAAAAAAAAAAGCAACAAAGTCAGAAATGGAGGACCTTGGTTCTATTACTGCCTAGCTTTCTGACCTTGGGCAAATGTTTTAATCTCTTTGGGATTCAGTTTCTTTATTATAATATGAGGGGATTAGCCTAGGGATACTTAAGACCCTTTCTAGCTCTCAAATTTAATGCATTTGCAGGAGAAAAAAAGCTCTACTTAACTACCTGTAAAAGTCAATAAGCCAGAGTGAAGGCTAAGCCATGTCAATAATACATCTGACTCCAAGAAGGTATCAGGTACTAGGTATAGGTAGAGTCAGGGGTACCAGTATGCTGTTGTAGTTGTGCCCTATACAAGGATACCACATCTCAGATAGTACTATTCACATTGTAGACATACACTAACTTATATGAGAGGGATGCAGGTGTGGGCAAAGAGATTCTGGCCTTCCAACATAGTTCTGAAATGAGGTATCAGGGGTACCTTCTCATACCTACATTTATACCAGCACACTAGACCATGCACATACATAGTCACTGGTAAATATATGTCCACCTGGTTATGTGTTATCCTGACTGTGCCTCAAAGGTTTCTTGAGGTTACTCCTTTCTCCTGCCTAATATTCTTGGAGACAGAATTTTAGCTTCTCAACCTAACCTCTGCAGCCTGACTCCAAACCTGACAAAAAGGCCTCACCTGGCAGGCAGGGCCTGATGGTATGCAGAGTATTCATGCTGCTAGTGGAATGTGTTCCCTGGTGTCTAGAAGATATATGAGTAAATAAGAGTGTGGTATATGCATGTATGTTTATAGATTCAGTTGCTACCCAACATCACAGGGCTGCCACAGGCTATAAGATAACTTTTTACTTGAGGGAATCATCCTTTTCTAATTGGCACAAAGGTACTATAGTGGCTAGGAGTGACCATGGGTTAAGTAATGTAGTTTCAAAGGTGCTGGAAAGGCCTTGTTGCCCACTGGCATATCCCACACATTGGCTGAGTTTGTGGATTCCCAGTTTATTCTTTCAGCTTCAGCTTTCACCCCTCTAAAGCCTTAGAAGGCTAAAACTTCAAGCTCATGCCAGGCCCTCATGACTTCTATGATTAAATAATTGTGGGGTGGAGCTTCACAATTGACCTTTCTAACCAGTTCCCAAATGACCATAATGTAGCTGGACCAGGGCCACACTTGAAGAATTCCTGGGCACAAGACTGGGAAGGCTGCCTTTGGTGCTTTGATTGTTCTGCTACTGCCATACACTGATCCTGAGCTACCTTTCTGAACTCTAGGCACTGAACCTGGCTGGCATAGTTTTGTTCATCTGCTAAAGGCCTTTAAGAGCCATTCCATGGTTAAAGGGTTTTGAGCTCATTGACTAGAAGATACCCTTTAACACGAAGTGTGGGCAAGTAACTCAGATGCCTGCAGCCCATTGTTAGCCTTTGTCTCTTACAGGTCTCCAGATGCAGTATCACAGCTGAATATATTCCTTAATAAGAGAATGGTTACATTGTCTAATCTCAGAATTTGCACAGAGCTCTCTGCTTCATTATCTCTACTTAATCACTAATTGGTACAGCCTGAAATGGAATCTCCAGGCTATAGGTAATAGATGTGAAAGCATGTTGAAGAATAGACAGTGTTGTGCAAATATGTAAGAAATTATTATTATTATTATTATTATTATTAGGGAAAACAAATCTATATTTGTACTGCTTTTTAAAAAATTTGGGTTGGACAGAAACTAAATAGGGTTTGGTGACTGATGAATCCTTGGAGTTATGTATGTAAAAGAAAATTATCTATCAGGTCCCAGTGTTAAAGTGAAGATAATAAAATAACTTATTTTTGACTTAACAGAAACCTTAGAAATTTCTGTTTTGTACTTAACAAGTCAGAAATATACTTCTGAAAGAGTCTAGGTTACTCATATTATTATGGTAATATATCCAAATAAAAATGTTTAATCTATAGTAAGCCAATCAGTTTATGATTAAAGCACAAGAAGCCGCTAAAATGGTGTGTCTCACAAGAGAAAAATGTATCATAGTAAATGCAGGAAACATTTTCCTCAAGGCAGCAAGAATTGCAACCACCAACCATCACCATTAATCCCAGGGAACTTGGAGCTACATCACTTTACTATGAATAAGTGAAATGAACTAGCACTTTCTGCAGTTAATTAAGGGAGTTGTTGCAGAGAGTGGTATTATTCAGTTTGGGGGGTCTGCATATCTTCAAATGCTTTTATGTCTCTAGTTAATTGGAATTTTTAACTTCTCTGTATGACCTCATTTTTAGCTCAGAATACAGAATGCCATGGGGTGGAAGATGGGAGAGGAGGAACAAAGCCTGTTTGGGTTGATGGCCTAACTATAAGCCCTTCATGTGGAAGACACATTTTCTGTATAGCTCTAAATCAAGTAGTTCTCATCACCATTCTCTACCTTTTCTTTTTAGGGTGATTGGGTGTGGCTGAAAAAAGTTCCCCTCTGGAGATTTTGGACATGGTAACTCCATCAAATCAAGTGCAAGTGAGATGTTTGAAATGGTATGAGAAAGCCTCTTTTATGTACATTCCCACTGAAGCCAATCCTTTCTCCAAAGTAACTAACAAGCAGTTAGTAAGACCCCTTAATACCTGCAGAGTTGCAACTGGCTTGATATGACCATATAATACAACAGCAAAAGTATGGGCTCTGCAGTGAAATAGATATGAAGCATTCCATTCCCATCTCTACCACTTAAGAACTGTTAGGCAAGTCACCTAAACTTCTTGAAGCCTACTTTCCTTATTTGTAAAAGAAATATATTAATGTATACTTCTCAGGATTAGGATGAGGATTAAAAGAGAATACATGTAAAGCATCTTGCACATTTCTTTTTCTAATCATTTTTATTGTTGTTCAAATACAGTCGTTTCCATTTTTCCACCACCTCTTTCCCCCAGCCCACCCACCATCACCTCCCACCTTCAATCCTACCCCGCTTTGACTTGTCCATGTTTCCTTTATACATGTTCTTTGGTGACCCTGTCTCTTCTTTCCTCCATTATTTCCCTGCCCCTCCCTTCTGGTTGATGTCAGTTTGTTCTTTATTTCAGTGTCTCTGGTTATAATGTGCTTGCTTGTTTGTTTTGTTGGTTATGTTCCACTTACAGGTGAGACTCGATGTACAGCTTCTTTGTAAAATAGTAGCTATTATAATTGTTATAAAATACATGTCCCATAATCATTCAAAATCTCCATTTGCCAAACCTATAAAAGTCATCTGGTAATTTCTATTTATATAAGAAAAATGGTGACTTCTCCAATCCCATCAATTATATTAAAAGAATCCTTGTATGGTTTATTTAAGGAATCTGCTTGCACATAAGGCAGGTATGATGATTCCTCCCAAATAATTTAAAACCTTGACTCCTCCTTGAACTTTGAGTACATAAAAGATACTTGAAATGTTTTAAGGTTTCATGTGAGATATAGAACTAACAAATTACTGGGAGAAAGGACACATTCAACTACCAAACTTTTGATGGTAACAAGCTAGGGAGATATTATGGTGGAGGTGAAGTACATGCCTACCCAATAAATATTTTGGATAACCATCTGGCTAATGCAGGTGCTCCAAGAATTCTCTGCTTCCTGTGGTTGTCTAGAATATGAGCAGGACATGACTGCATGCAGGTATCTACCTGTTTTCTGTATAGAATTTTCTCTATTGGTCGTAGCTGAGGATATATGACTGTAAAAACCTAGGAAAAATTTAGGCTTAAAATTATTTCATGCTAGGGTTACTAGGGTAAACCTAGATGCTGTAACAAAATGGCTCCCAAATATTTAATGTCTCAAACACAGCAGAAGTTTAATTTTCATCCTGAAATGGTATAAGGTAGGTTTTATTAATTGCTTGCTGACTCTCTTCTAATATGGTGATTCATGGGCCCAGGATATGACCATCTTATGATTCTGCTATCTCCTAGGGCCTTGTCATCATTTGCATTCCTCTATAAAAAGTGGGAAAATAACATGGAAGGTATATATTCACTTCTTAAAAGTATTAGACTAGACATAGCACTTATCACTTTCTCTCATTGCTTCCTTCCATTGCTAAGAATTCAGTCTTATGGCTACACTTAGCTCCAAGGTAGGCTGGAAAATGTGGACTACTTGTTTTCCCAACAAGAAAAGGAAGTGGATTTGTACTGAACTGCTAGCAGTCTCTGACATAACCACTTGTATCATGTCTTCCAATGGAGTTTCAGCGCCCAATAGTTTTTGCTGCTTGGTCCATAAGAGCTGCTACAATGAAACTTTAGAAGAAGTTGCCCACTTTGCTATGTGTGGGCTAAATTTTCATTACTACCTTAGCTGGTTTAGGTTGGACTGTGATTTTATTTTGTTTGTTTCTGCATCTCTAGCATAAAATCCAGTGCCTTGGACATTACAGGCATATATTAAGTAGTTCTCACATTAGTGAAAAAATTAATAGTTGCAAAGGAAATATATAGTCAAAATGCTAGATGTTTCTTCTGCAACAAATTTTGTAAGCAATCTATTCTACCTTTCAATGTATTAACCTTTTTCTTAGTCCTCCTGGGTCACTGAGCTCCACCTCACAGAGTATCCAAAGAATCAGGAAGAAGGCCACAGCCCCAGCATTAACTTACAATATGCTAAGAGATATCCATCTCTGAAATTTTCATCTTTGACCATTGCATTCTTTTTCTATCACTGTCTGTGATGTGGTGATTTTTAATAAGAGATATATATTTGGCCTTTGCCCTCATTTCTGGCACAGAGCTCCTAAAGTCCTTGAAATTTTGTAAATGCTGAGAATGATAAAGGCACCTTTTCTTGCATTAATGAGGTGACTCTAGGAAAGCACCAAAGGATGAAAGCTGGTTGCCTGGACAGGTTGGAATGTTTAGTCCCACAGCCCTGACCTTTGGGGAAGGGAGAGGGGCTGGAGATTGAATCAGCCATCAATGGAGTCAATCATGCCTGTGTAATTAAGCCTCCATAAAACCCCCAAAAGACAGGGTTTGGAGAGCTTCCAGGTTGGTAAACACGTGGAGATTTGGACAGAATGGCTTGCAGAGAATATGGAAGCTCCTGTGCCTTTCCTCCATAACTTATACTATGCATCTGTTTTGTCTGGCTGTTCCTGAAGTATATCCTTTTATAATAAACCAGAAATATGGGAAGCAAAATGTTTTTGTGAGTTCTATGAGTTACTCTAGCAAATTAATCAAACCCAATGAGGGGTTAATTGAAACTCCAATCTATAACTGGTTTGTAGGAAATCCAGGTGACCTGGACTTATGACTGGTGTCTCAAGTGTGATGGAACAATCTTGTAGGACTGAGCCCTTAACCTGTGCAATTTGACTCTCCAGGTGGATAGTACCAGAATCAAGCTGAATTGTTGCACACCCAGCTGGTGTCAGAGAATTGTGTGGTTGTGTCGGAGACTGCCCCCTATGCAACACACACAATATGGAATTTGTGACTAGAACTCTTAGCGCCATAAAAAATAGCACAAACTTAGTGGCTTAAGACAGCACCCATTTATTATCTCACAGTTTACTAGTTCAGAAGTCTAAGTGGGTTCAGCTGAGTCTTCCACTTAAGCATCACACAAGAGTGAAGTTAAGGTGTCAGTTGTGCTGGGCTCTTATTTTGAGTTTCTGCAGGAAAACCACTTCTAAGCTCATTTGGTTTTTAGTAGAATGTAGTTCCATGCAGTTGTGGGACTGAGATCCTCATTTCCTTGATGGCTATCAACTAAGAGTCATTTCCAGCTTCTAAAGGCTATCCACATTTCTGGGTTTGCAACATCCTTCCTTAGTCTTCAAGCCAACAATGAAGCTTTGGGTCCTCACACTTTGAAATCTCTCAATTTCTCTTGTACTTCCTCTTCTGATTTAAAAGTTTCATGTGATTAGATTAGTCTGATGCTGATACTTTACCTTGGGCCACATAATGCAACCACAGGAGTAAGACTAGGGTTTGGAGATCACTGGGCCAAAATTCTGCTTACCACAACTAGAAGCCATAAGAAAGGCGAAGATAAGGTTATGTGACCTAAATTCTGGTCCCCAGTTGAGACAGGACAGCTGTGATTCTCCTCTCTCTTTCTCTGTTTCCAGTTGAAGGACCTGCATCACAAGAATATTAACCCTTTCTTGGGCTTCTTCTATAACTCAAGGATATTTGACATTGTGACAGAATTTTGTCCCTGAAGGCATACTGATAAATGAGGATGTGAAACTAGACTGGATGTTTAAATTATTATTCCTGCTGAATCTCATCAAGGTTAATGGAAAGACAGAAAATCTTGAATTTTCCCTGTAGATTAGAACTTAAATGTTTTGGATGTTTTGTTTTCCTTGGATCATTGTGATGATCTCACTCCTCCACCTTCATTCCCAGGGTCAGCCTTCTGAGTCTCTTGTCCATATCTGTAATAAGGTACTAATATGGAAAGTTGTACTTACCCTGCCCGGCCCCCCAACTTGAAGGCCAGATTTGTTTTTATTTCCTGTTGGCATTGAGCACTCTTCACTTTCAGCAATCCTTTCTTCCATCCCACTTCCCTGTTTTCTGGATGTGGGAAAGTGCCTATTTGCAGATTTTTGGTGTTCAATAGTCCCATCTCCTGTCTTTCACCTTCTAAAAGGTGGTTCAGTCAAGAACTAGGTGATGGGTTTTTGCGTACCATATGTGTAGATATGGAACTGAGCAAGACTAGAAAGCCAAAAGATCATTGAGTCTATCAGGCAGCATATCCACTCTCTGAGGACAGCCAAGGGGGTTCATGGATAACCCTATAAATGGGCTTCTCAAGGAGTCTATGAACTCCCTGGAATAATATGCAAATTGTTTCTATGTGCATTTTCATGAGGCTGATCTAGATAATGAATGATTTCTGAGGTTCTTGCCTATTGATTATAGTCTTGACCTTTGTATTATGACCTAACCTTTTTCAAGCTAGCTTTGTAGACATTATCTTATTCCAATTTGTCATAAGTGTGATTATCCTCTTTTTACAAAGGCTCAGAGAAGCTCAATGAACTATACTTTGTTATGTAGTGTCTGCCACACATAGTAGGTGCTCAATAAATATTTATCAGCCAAATATTAAATGGCAGGGTTGACAACAGAATCCAAATCTCCTGATTTCTATTTTAGTATTATTTCCACTTACCTTGTAAACAAAGTCATGTGAGTTAAGGGACAGACCCACAAATGACAATACTCTCAGGCCCATGGTGAATGAAACCAAGCAGACAACCTAGGAAAAATATTACCCACTGCAGGCTCTGCTAGGAAATACTGGAGAGTGTAGACTTTTCAAAGGCATGATATAAAGCATACAGATACAAAAGGGGTGTCAAGCTACAAAATAGAGCCAGACACTTAAAAAGTCTTGACATAAACAGTTCTGAAATGATTATACTAGAATATGGATGCATGTATATGTGAATGATTAAACCCATCTGATAGAGTCCTGGTACATCATATATATGAATGTCATACAAAGTTGCCAAGCAAGCTACAGAAATCAGTAGTATTCAGTTTCTTCTTTTTATTTTTTAATATATTTTATTGATTATATTATTACAGCTGTCCCAATTTTTTCTCTTTGACCCCCCCACCTGGTACTACCCTTACTTCCAGCAATCCCCCACCTTAGTTCATATCTATGGGTCATGCATTTAAGTTCTTTGGCTTCTCCATTTCCTATACTAAACTTCCCCCTATTTACACCTACCAATTATGCTTCTTAATCCCTGAATCATCCCCCCTCCCATTCATAACCCACCAAATTATCTCCATATCTATGATTCTGTTCCTATTCTGGTTATTTCCTTAGTTTTTGTTTGTTTGTTTGTTTTTAGATTCAGTTATTGACAGTTGTGAGTTTGTTGTCATTTTAATATTCATAGTTTTAATCTTTTTCTTTTTTATAACATATTTTATTGGTTATGCCATTACAGTTGTCCCCTTTCCCACTTCATTCCCTTCCACCCTGCACACCCCCTCCCACCCACATTCCCCCTTTTTACTTCATGTCCATGTGTCATAAGTTCTTTAGCTTCTACATTTCCCACACTACTCTTGCCCTCCCCCTGTCTATTTTCTCCCCACCATTTATGCTGCTTATTTTCTGTACCTTCTCCCCACCTCTCCTCCTCCCACTCCCCTGTTGCTAACCCTCCACGTGATCTCCATTTTTGTGGCTCCACTCCTGTTTTAGCTGCCTGCTTAGTTTGCTTTTGTTTCAGGTGTGGTTGTTAATAACTGTGAGTTTGCTGTCCTTTCACTGTTCATCTTTTTTATCTTCTTTTTCTTAGATAAGTCCCTTTAACATTTCATATAATAAGGGCTTGGTGATGATGAACTCCTTGAACTTGACCTTATCTGAGAAGCACTTTATCTGCCCTTCCATTCTAGATGAAAGCTTTGCTGGATAGAGCAATCTTGGATATAGGTCCTTGCATTTTATGACTTGGAATACTTCTTTCCAGCCTCTTCTTGCCTGCAAGGTATCTTTTGAGAAATCAGCTGAGAGTCTAATGGGAACTCCTTTGTAGCTGACTGTCCCCTTAGCTCTTGCTGCTTCTAGGATTCTCTCCTTCATTTTCATCTTAGCTAATGTAATTATGATGTGCCTTTGTGTGTTCCCCCTTGGGTCCACCTTCTTTGGGACTCTCTGAGCTTCCTGGACTTCCTGGAGGTCTATTTCCTTAGCCAGGTAGGGGAAGTTCTCCTTTATTATTTGTTCAAATAAGTTCTCCACTTGTTGCTCTTCCTCTTCCCCTTCTGGTACCCTTATAATTCAGATGTTGGAAGGTTTAAAGATGTCCTGGACGTTCCTAAGCATCTCCTCACTTTTTTGAATTCTTGTTTCTTTATTCTGTTCTGGTTGAATGGTTCTTTCTTCCTTTTGGTCCACTCCACTGATTTGAGTCCTAGTTTTATTCCCATCACTATTGGTTTCCTGTGCATTTTCCTTCATTTCACTTAGTGTAGCTTTCATTTTTTTCATCTCATTTGTGACTAAAATCAACCAGTTCTGTGAGCATCCTGATCACCATTGCTTTGAACTGTGCATCTGATAGGTTGGCTATCTCTTGGCTGCATAGATATATTGACTCTGGGGCTTTGATTTGTTCTTCTGTTTGAGCTGTAATTTTTTGGTCAGGTCATGCCTGTTATGTATGAGGGGCGGAGCCTTAGGTGTTCACCAGGGTGTGGCAACCCAGTCACTGGGTTGTGATGCTGTATGTGGGGGCGGGGTCAGAGAGGGAATAATGGTGCTTGCTCTGCTCTCTGTGGGATTTTAGTCCCCTCTGCTGCTTCCCACAAGCAAATTGGGCCCTTCTGGTGCTGGTTCCTGGGTGGGTGGGCTTGTGTACATTGGAGAACCCTGTGGGTCTCTACAACAAATTCTCCTGTGAGGCTGAGAGTCTCTCCCAGTACCTTTTCAATCAGTACTTTTAGGCTTTATTTTGGCATCGCTGGGGCCCTGGGTTGCGCAGTCTATGTCACTGCTTGTTTTTGCCTAGTTGATCTGCATGTGAATGTGTGTGTGCAGTCAGCTAACTACCTTGTGTGCGTGACTGGGTCTGCTCATTTCCTCTCTGTGTGCCCGGAGTCTGCTAGGCCTGTGCCACCTGCATTCCCGGGTCTGGCAGCCACTGCCTTTTTCTGCGGTGACCCCTCCCCACCAGCCACCAACTTCACCCCTCTTACCAGTCTGGATGAATGGTTGTCAGACTTCCGTACCGATCAATTTTCTGTCTGTTTTGGTTGTGTTTTTGTTTCTAAATCTTTGTTGTCCTTAATTTTGATTGTACAAGGAGGTGCAGTGTTTCTACCTGTGCCTCCATCTTGGCCAGAAGGAATGATCTTCTTCATCTTAAATAAAACCCTTCAACATTTTGTGTAATGATGGCTTGGTGATGATGAATATCTTTAGCTTTACCTTATCTGGGAAGCACTTTATCTGCCCTTCCATTCTAAATGGTAGCTTTGCTGGATAGAGTAATCTTGGTTGTAGGTTCTTGCTTTTCATCCCTCTGTACACTTGTTGCCAGTCCCTTCTTGCCTGAAAAGTTTTTTTTTTTTTTGAGAGAGTACCTGATAGTCTTATAGAAACTCCTTTGTAGGTAATTCTCTGCTTTACTCTTGCTACTTTCAAGGTTCTCTATCTTTAACCTTTGGCATTTTAATTATGATGTGTCTTGGTGTGGCCCTCTTTCAGTCCAACTTGTTTGGGACTCTCTGAGCTTCCTGGAGTTGTATGTCTATTTCCTTCAACAAACTGGGGAGGTTTTCTTTCATTATTCTTTCAAGTAAAATTTCAATTTATTGCTTTTCCTCTTCTTCTGGCACTCCAATGATTTGAATGCTGGTATCTTTAAATTTTTCCCATGGGTTCCTAAGCCTCTCCTCATTTGTTTTGAATTCTTGTTACTTCTTTCTGTTCTGGCTGAATGTTTACTTCTTCCTTTTCGTTCAAATTACTGATTTGAACCCCAGCTTCCTTCCCTTTACTGTTGGTTCCCTGTATATATATTTCTTTATTTCACTTAGTGTAACTTTCATTTCTTCCTTTATTTTGTGGCAACACTCAATGAGTTCTCTGAGCATCCTGATCACCAGTGTTTTGACCTCTGCATCTAATAGTTTGGCTATCTCCATTTAGTTTAGTTCTTTTTCTGTGATTTTTTCAGTTCTTTCATTTGTGCCATATTTCTTTGCCTCCTCAATTTTGCTGCCTCCCTGTGTTTGTTTTTGTTTACTAGGAGGAGCTGCTTTTACTCCCTGTTTTAGTAGCATGACCTATGTAGAAAAGGCACCTCTAAATTGTGTGGGGTGGAGCTATAGGTAATTGCCAGGACAGGACAACTGCTTCACTGTTTTGTAGCTCTGTGTGTGTTTGGTGGGGGGGAGGCTCAGAGAGGAATCAATGCTTCTGCCTGGCTTCTAGAGGCCTGCTGAGCACTAGTCTCACTTGTCACTTCCCCCACCTCCTGTATGTGGTTGGTGTCCTTCCAGCTGTTGTTGTGGTGTTTGCGTATGTTCTAAGCCATGTGGGCCTTTTAAGCTGCAAAAATCTGGCAGTTTCTTCTACCACCCTGACTCCCATTGGTTTTCAGCCAGAGGTAATGGGAGTTTATCTTCCTGGTACTGGAACCCTGAACTGTGTAGTCTGGCCTGGGGCTGGGATTGTGTGCTCCCAAAGTATCTGTCCCGATTTTTTCTACCACATGTGAATGTGGGACCATCTGTTCTGCCACCGGGTGTACTACCACCACCACTGCCACTGCTGCCCCTCTGTGCCACACCATATCCTCTCTGCCCCAGCTCCATAACTCTGCCCTTCCTATACATCTAAATGAATGTGGCTTCTTTAAATCCTTGGTTGTTAGACTTCCATACAGATCAATATTTCTTATGTTCTGGGTGTTATTTGTTTTTGAGATGTGGTGGTAATCCTTTCTATGGTTTGTGTGAGGAGGTGAAGAATGTCTACCTATGCTTCCCTCTTGACCAGAAGTCTTTAGCTTTCTTCTTCCTACTATTTTAAATTACAAAAGTAATGTATTAAATTGAAAAACCAAATGATATAAAAATACTGACACTTACTTATTCTTCTTCATATATTCCCCCAAAGTTATCCACTATCAATGATTTGGTAATTAGCCTTGTAATTAATTTCATGTGTATTTGCATACATTATAGATTTTGTTTGTTTTTTAAAATATACATCATATAATCTGCAACTTAGTATTTTTTTTTACTTACTTTACAGCTTAGAAATGTTTCCCTGTTGGTATATATACATCTACCTTATTATTTTTAGTTGCTGCAGAACATTCCATAGTTTGGATAGACCACAATTTGGACCATCCCTTCTTTTTTAAAGTTTTTACTTATTTTTAGAGAGAGGGGAGGGGAGAGAGAAAGAGAGTCAGAGAAACACTGATGTGAGAGAGATACCAGGGATCTGGGATACTAACTGGGGACCTGGCCTGTAACTCAGGCGTGTGCCCTGACTGGGAATCAAACTGGTGGCCTTTTGGTTCAAAGGCTAGCACTCAATTCACTGAGCCACAACAGTCAGGGCTGGATTGTCCCTTCTTGATAAGTATTTATTGTATTTTCAATTATGCAATATTATAAAGCAGAGCTGTAATAAAGATTCTTGTATATGTCTTCTTGTACAGATGAGCAAGCATTCTGTTTTGAGGAAAAATAGAATCTGTAGGTCACAAGGCATGCATACTTTCAATCTTGAGAGCTATTGACCATTTGCCCACCCAAAAGGCTGTTGTAATTTTTAAAAGATTTTATTCATTTATTTTTAGAGAAAGGGTAATGGAAGGAGAAAGAGAGGGGAAGAAACATCAGTGTGTGTTTACTTCTCTTGGCTCACCCCCTTCCCTGCGGGGGACCTGGGCTGCAACCTAGTCATGTGTCCTGACTGGGAATTGAACCAGTGACCCTTTGGTTCCTAGGCCAGCACTGAATCCACTGAGCCACACCAGCCAGGGTAGGCTTCATCAATTTCCATTCCTGCCAATAGTGGATGAGAATTGGACTAAGTCTTTGGGGGAGATCAGAATTTCCAAATTCTTGGCAATTATATAGTATGAGACATACCATCCTGTGTTTGAAATGGCAGTAAATCTTCCAGTAACACATAATTCTTTACACATTCAAGATATGACTCTTCATCAAAGCATACAATTTTAGAGCTAAAATGTACCTGAAATTTATTCTTGTCAATGTTTTGCTTGCCTGGATATAAGAAAAAAGGGCTGAATTCTAGATCATAATAGCACATGCCATTAACAATCTAAGAAAATGGTTCTAAAAGCACAAAATAGTTAAATAAGTTGCTAGATAAATTCTGTTTGTGTCATCTTCAGGGCATGAAGTACTTACACCACAGAGAGTTTGCTCATGGGAGGCTGAAATCTTGGAACTGTAGGGTAGATGGGAATTTTGTACTAAAAGTGACAGATTATGGCTTTAATGATATCTAGGAAATGCTAAGACTCTCCCAAGAGGAACCTTCTGCTGAAGGGTAAGCAATGTAGTTTATCCTTCCAAAGCATACAAGGTAACTCCAAAGTTTAAATGAGAATATGTACTGCATTAAAGCCTCAGTCTGATTCACTTCCACACTTTTGTTGAAAATTCACCCTCATTTCCAAGCCAAAGGAGTTGAATGAAGTCTGGAGGCTGTAGTCTCAGCACAGCCTAATCTTCAGAACAAAGTCTATGCAATAATGTTTAGTTCCTGCTGTGGCAGGATTAGACTGAATTGTTTAGAGACCCCAGGGATCCCTGAAGGAATTTACTGAGCACACAGTAGGTGCTCAATAATTACTTGTCATATTGAATGGAAGGTAATTTGGTAGCTGGACCATGACAAAGCACATTCTGAGATGAGATGCCACTAAAGCCTACCCTCACAGTCTCTGTTGGAGAGAAAGAAGCAAGTAGTGAATAAAGGCTCTATGGGTTGTATGGGATGACTTCAGACAGAACTATGGCATTCTAGTAAATAAGTAGGTATGCCTGTAAGGTCCATTTTGTCTTTTTGTCTTCTGTTTAGTACACTAGTGACAGCACCAAATAATGTCTGCAGGGATCATCACAAATCAAATGGTAGAAATCTTTGATAGGGAGTAGGAAGGGGTGAGTGAGAACTAGGAGGAAATGAACTGATGGAAGAGGGGGGAAAGGAAGAGAAGCAGTAAGGAGGAAAAACAATGAATAGGGTAAAATACATGTAGGAAACTTGGGCATTAAAAGTTTTAACTAGTATTGCAAAGGCAAAGAAGAGTGACATAAAAAACACAAAAAAATTCAACCCTAGAAGATGGAAGGAGAGATATAAAATTACAACATATATTATATTTTTGGTATACATTTTAAAACTATTGACTTTACTAAATAGAAAAAATGAAGAATGAAAGATAGAGGGACACATATGCAGATAGAGACAGTCTAGTCATCAGTGGTATCATCTTTGTGCTTTACAAAACTTATGGGATACTAAACTTTAGGGAGTCATCTAGTCCAACTCTATCAATTAACAGATAAGATAACTGAGGCTCAATATTTTTTCCAAATCATGTAGCTACGAAGCAGCATTTTCAGAATTCAATCTGGTCTTCTGAAGACTAGCCCTTAAACCAGCTAAATTAAAACATATAACAATTTTCTCTTTCTGTGCCCATCTATGCTTTGGAGGATTTTACGCTCCTGGAAATCACAATACGAATTATGTTATTCATTTATTCATTCTCTCTCTCTTTCCATCTGCTTATTGCAGACTTTGTCTTATGGTTATTATCTGGCTGATTCCAATTTTGAAAGTTGGGAGTAGTCTCCAGGTGTTAGTGCTACAAGAGATAAAACACAATGCTCAGCTTCCCAGAGTTCCATTTAATTCACATGTTGACAACTTTCAAACTTAAAAAATTCAGGTCTCAGAGTGAGAAGAAGATAGCTGCAGACTCTATCTCTGTGTATATATACAGTGTCTGTCTTTTTCTCTGCCTTTCACTCTTAATGTTTCATTTCAATCTCCAAACTGCGATAGCAGTGTGAATGCTCAATCCATTCTTCATACAGTACAGCTAGGAGTTTTCTAAACTACAAATCCGATCATGTTACAGCTGTGCCAAAATTCAGTGAATGGCTTCCCATTGCTCTTAGGGTAAAGTTCAAATTCTTTTACTTGGCTTGTGAACCCTGCGTGATCTGGGCCTTGCAAACCTCCCTCTATCTCTATGCTCCAGCAGTGAACTCCTTCTAGTTGTTTATTTACGCCAGGCAGTCTCTTACTTCCAGACCTTCACACATACTGTGCCCATTGCTTGGGACAGTCTTCTGTTCCCACTTTGTTATATACTCATCTGATTCTGGCTAAATTCTACTCTTTCTTTAGGGCTCAACATAAATATCACTTATTAAATAGACTTTCTATGACACCTTATGCTGGGCTAAGTTCTCTTTATGATCTTTTAGGGCTTTGGACTTTGTTGTAATACCATACTTTGTTGGCGTTATGTTTTTAATTAGCTGCCTTCTTTCCTTATTTAAACTAAAAGCTCTGTGGAGGAAAAAAAACAGTTGCGCTTCCCTTAGCACCTTTCATTACTTGACAGGATAAATGTTTGTTGCACCAATGAATGCGTGAAATATAATGAAATCACTTGCTCCTTCCCACCTTAGATGACAGGGCTAATAGAATCTTATAATCGGAAAGCTGTTGGAAATCATCTGGCTAAACTTCCATTGTATAGTTGGGGAAACTGAGGCTCAGAAAGTTGAGCTACTTAGTGACCAAGCTGAGATTTTAAACCCAGATCTCTTTACTTCCAGCTCTGTGTTTGTTTGTACTGTATCACACTGACTATCCAAAGGTGATTTTATCACCATAGCAAGGCTCAGAGTTAGTGCTGTCACCGGCAAATAAAAAAATTAGCAAAGGTAATTTTTATAGCTTTCCTGAGAGTTCAGGTATGGTAGGTAGTAGCTCTTACATGGTTCTGGACTAGGGATGTGTAAATAGGGGTGGGTTGTAAGTGTATTTATTCCTGTCTACTCTCAATTATATAAGTATAGTGCAGATAAAATCTCATTTTAGCCATTAACGACATACATTTAAGTGCTCTCTGAAAGTACTATTTGGTAATGATTGTATTTAATAATCCAGCTTTTACCAGAGAGTTTTGTCCTCTTTCTCTTCTTGCACTTTTACATGTGCAGGGAGAGAGGATGCCAGGAAGAAGCAGCCACATACCATTCTCCCTGCTCCCAGATATTCCCCTTGCCCTCCCCGCAAAACCATATGCCTGAAATCCCACAGTCAGAAATGTATTCCTTTGACTAAAGAATCATTCAGTCTTTGCAGTTTTATTTGTAAATATCAGTCCACTTTGGCAAAGAGACATAAGGGCAAAATCACTATTGATTAGAGACTTCCATGGGGTGGGGGCCTGGGGAGGACAAAGGCTGGGGACACTTGGAGGATAAAGAGAAAAGGTGAGTACATGATTGAAGGTCAGCCTAGAATTCCCTGTTCTACCATTTTGATCAGGGTTGGCTTAAAATAAGAATTTTCAGCGTGAGTTTCTCTTTTTTTAGTTTCACTAAGAAACCAAAATAATCTCAATTTACCCTCCTTCCTTTTTCATAGGAGATTGTCCCCTGGACTCCCTTCCTAATACCCCAAATTTAATAAGAAAAAGTAAGCCACAACTTTACACCTGTCACCCCATCCTCAGCAGACGCTATTTTTCAACCTCCCAATTTGTCTATCAACCTGTTGCTTGCTCTAAATTTCTTCTGTTCCCAAAGCAGGTTGAGCCTATCCCCAGCCCTGTATCTTCCTTCTCCATTGCAGCCTTCCCATGTATTTGCTTCCTGTCCTGCTGCTGCCACCTCCACCCCCATTCAGGCCCCTTTCACCCCACTTCTGGCTCTTCCTGTAATAACTTCCTAACTGGTCTCCCTGACTACAGCCTCTCTCATTCTTCAATCCAGCTTGTGCAGTTTGCCAGATTCATCTTCCTGAACATGGTTTTCATCAAACCCCCTCTCCAACTCTTTGCACCCTACTGCCTTTTGTATTCACTCCAAAGGCCTTCATTTGTCTCTCAGGGCCTCTCACCTTCTGCCCTCATTCTTCCAACCACCCTCCCTGCCCCACTTCATCAACCCTGTTTCTCATTCCTCGTTATTAACAGAGCCATTCTCTTCAGCCAAGCTAATCTGCTTACCACCACCCTATCCACAATGTGCTCCTTTCTACCTCTTGTTCTTTCACACTCACTGTTTTTTCTCCCCAAAAGCCTTTATCCTTTCAGCTCTAGGAAACTGCATCTTCAACTGTCTTCACAAGTTCCTTTAAGATTTAATTTTTCCAGGAAGCCTTTATAGATTAATTTAATCAGCTCAGTTTTTTATTTGTTTGAACCTTATGAAATTGTCAATATTTAAACAATTGACCTACAAAAACAGCAATTTCATATGGTTCAGTGTTAAACACTCCCTTTAACATTTGACTATTCTATTTATATCCTTAGTGTGTGTTTCTTTATGTATTGCTTAAGGAGCCCTCCCCCCAAATTTTTTGAGTCTCTGACTGTCATAATATTCTGAAAGCATAAATAATCTCTTTTTTACCTTGATTGGGCCTGAAATGGAGCAGAGCATACCATGGGTGGTCAAGTTTGGCTTTTAATATATTCATTTTCCTGCACTCTATGGTGGGGCTCATCACTGTCTTGTATTGCAGTTAAGAGTACACATGTCTGTCTTACTGACTGCTTATGAACTCTGTAAGAGCAAAGGCAAGGCCTAATTCATCTTGTCCATTTCCCCTGTACCTAGCATAGTGCCTGGTACATGGTAGATCTTCAGTAAATATTTGCAGAACTGAGTTGAAGAATTTGCTTTACCTTTTTGCTCTGCAAAGAATAGAGGAGGCCTGAGGATCCTCTAATCCTTTTAGAGAAAACCCCCAGAAAGCAATCTATAAATCCCTGAGCTGGTCCAGCACAATCAAATTACTAGGTACATATAGATCTCAGCAAACAGCAAATCCATGAAAACCATTCTGGCAGTGCACTCACCTTTCCCTAGAAGCCTGTCAACTGCTACTGGCAGGCTCAAGAGAGCAAGAAAGCAAGTGCCAGTTAGTTTTTCTACTCTGAGTTTCTCTGCCCTTTTCCACACATCTACTGTGTCTGCCTGCATGGTCTTGGGGTAGGGAGAGTAGTATGCTTTCTTTGTGTATCATTCCTTAGGTTAATAGATTCTGACCTTGGGAAGAAACTAGCATGCTGGTCTATCTACTAAATATATAAAGCAGTCAATGAAATAGCACCCTTGGAACTCTTGAGGGCATTACATGAGCTGTCAGTTAATCCTTCCTGCATTCATTACATAATGCCTTTTTTTTTTCAGAGTTACTGTGGACAGCCCCTGAACTGCTGAGAGCCTCCAGGGCCAGAAGGTCAGGTTCTTTTGCAGAAGATGTCTATAGTTTTGCCATCATCATGGAAGAAGTTATGGTCTGGGGAACCCCATTCTGTATGATAGATCTACCTGCTGAAGGTAAGCAAGAGGTGACAAAAGGACACCAGTGCCTCACCATTACCCAGATTATCAGGCCAACCCAGGCTCCTCTGAATTGCAGAAGACTGAACACAGCTATTTTTTTATGCTAACTGTCTGGTAGTCTGCAAGCAGCCCATGTTGTGTGCAGGTGGGACTTGCACTTGGAAGAAATTTTCCCACCCAAGAGGCCGATCCTTTTCCAAACTGTGACATAAACCAAGGGCCTACAAGATCTATATCAGTCCTTTATATTTTTTAATTTAAATTATTTTAATGTTGTTCAATTACAGTTGTCCATATTTTCTCCTCAACTCTTCTCCCACCCCCTCCAAACCCGCCTCCCTCCTTTGTTTCCACCCTTCCCCTTGGTTTTGTCCATGTGTCTCTAATAGTAGTTCCTGAAAACCTTTCTTCCCATTGTCCCCTCTCATCTCTCCTCTGGCTATTATTAGATTGTTCTTAATTTCAATGACTCTGGTTATACTTTGTTTGCTTTTTTTCTTTTGTTCATTATGTTCCAGTTAAAGGTGAGATCATATGGTATTTGTCCATCACCACCTGGCTTATTTCACTTAGCATAATGCTCCCCAGTTCCATCCATGCTGTTGCAAAGGGCGGAAGCTCCTTCAATCTCTCTGCTCCATAGAATTCCATTGTGTAAATGTAGCATAGTTTTTTGATCCACTCATTTGCTGATGGGCACTTAGGTTTCTTCCAGCTCTTGTCTATTGTGAATTGTGCTGCTATGAAAATTGGGGTGCATAGGAAATTTTGGATTGGTGTTTCAGGGCTCTTAGGGTATAAACCCAGCAATGGAATTGCTGGGTCAAAAGACAGTTCCATGTTTAACTTTCTGAGGAAATTCCATACTGTTCTCCACAGTGGCTGCACCAATCAGCATTCCCACCAATAGTGCACTAGGTTTCCCTCTTCTCTGCATCTTCTCCAACACTTGTTGATTTGTTTGTGTTGGCCATTCTGATTGGTGTGAGGTTGGTATCACATTGTGGTTTTAATTTGCATTCTGATGGCTAGTGATGCTGAGCATATTTTCATGTGTCTCTAGGCCCTGTGTATGTCCTTCTTGGAGAAGTTTCTCTTCAAGTGTTTTGCTCATTTTTAGTTGGGTTTTTAAAATTGGATTAGAGTCATGTGAGTTCTTTATATATTTTGGCAATCAAGCCCTTGTCCAAAGTGTCATTGACAAATATGTTTTCCAGTGTGGCAGTTCTCTTTTCATTTTAATGCTCTTTTCTTTAGCCGTGCAGAAGTTTTTATTTTGATGAGGTCCCACTTGTTTATTCTTTCCTTTATGTCCCTTTCTTTAGGTGACATATCCGTGAAGATGTTGCTGCATGGAATGTCTGAGATTTTCCTGCCAATGTTCTCCTCTAGGATTTGTATGGTGTTATGATTTATATTTAAGTCTTATATGATGTTATGACATATTTAAGTCTTTTATCCACCTTGGATTTATTTTTGTGTATGGTGTAAGCTGGTGATCGAGTTTCATTTTTTTCCATGTAGCTGTCCAGATCTCCCAACACCATTTGTTGAAGAGGCTACTTTTGCTCCATTTTATGTTACTGCCCCCTTTGTCGAATACTGATTGACTATAGAGAGTTGGGTTGATTTCTGGGCTCTCTGTACTGTTCCATTGGTCTATGTGCCTGTCTTTATGCCAGTACCAGACTGTTTTGATTACAGTGGCCTGTTAATACAGTTTGATATCAGGTATTGTAATCCCTCCTCCTTTGTCCTTCTTTCTCAAAATTGCTGCAGCTACTCGGGGTCATTTATGGTTCTATATAAATTTCTGAAATGTTTGTTTTATATGTGTAAAATATGTCATGGGTAATTTAACAGGTATTGCATTGAATCTATAAATTGCTTTGGGTAGTATGGACATTTTGATGAGGTTAATTCTTCCGATCCATGAGCATGGTACATGCTTCCATTTGTTTGTGTCTTCCTTAATTTCTTTCTTCAGTGTTGTATAGTTTTCTGAGTATAAGTCTTTTACCTCCTTGGTTAGGTTTATTCCTAGGTACTTTATTTTTATTGTTGCTATATGAAATGGGATTTTTTTCTGGTTTCTGCTCCTGATGTCTCATTGTTGGTATACAAAAATGCCTTTGATTTCTGAGTATTGACTTTGTATCTGGCTGTTTTCCCAAAATTATTTATTAGGTTGGGTAATTTTTTGGTGGATTTTTAAAGTTTTCTATGTACACCGTCGTGTCATCTGCAAACAATGACAGTTCTGTTACTTCTTTTCCAATTTGGATGCCTTTTATTACTATTTCTTATCTGATTTTTGTGGCTACAACTTCCAGTACTATGTTGAATAGTGGTGATGAAAGTGGGTATCCTTGTCTTGTTCCTGATTTGAGTGGGAGACCTCTAAGTTTTTGTCCATTAAGTATGATGTTGTCTGTAGTTCTCTCATATATGGCCTTTATTAGGTTGAGGAATGCTCCATCTATTCCCACTTTGCTGAGTGTTTTTATCATAAATGAGTGCTGTTCCTTATCAAATGCCTTTTCCACAGCTATTGATATGATCACATAGTTTTTGTCTTTCATTTTGTTTATGTGGCGTATTATGTTTATTGATTTGCGAATATTGTACCATACTTAAATCCCTCAGATGAATCCCACTTGGTCATGGTGTATGATCTTTTTAATGTATTGCTGGATGCGGTTTGCCAATATTATGTTGAGGGGTTTAGCATCTATGTTCATCAGTGATACTTGTCTGAAGTTTTCTTTCTTTCTTATGTCTATATCTGGTTTTGGGTTTAGGATGATGTTGACTTCATAAAAAGAGTTTAGGAGTCTTCCAACTTCTTGAATTTTTTGAAATAATCTATGGAGAATGGGGGTTAGTTCTCCCTTAAATCCTCTGTAAAATTCTCCTTGAAACTGTCTGGTCCATGGCTTTTGTGTGCTAGAAGCTTTTTTATTACTGTTTCAATATCATCAGGTGTTATTGGTATGTTCAGACTTTCTGCTTCTTCTTTACTGAGATTTGGTAGATTATATTTTTCTAGAAATTTGTCCATTTTATCTAGGTTTTCACATTTCTTGGCGTATAGTTCTTTGTAGTAATTTCTTATAATCTTTTGTAAGAAATTTCTGTGGTGTCAGTTGTATCCTCTCTTCTTTCATTTCTGATTGTGTTTATTTGGGTCTACTCTCTTTTTTTCTTGATGAGCCTGATTAAAGGGTTGTCGATTTTGTTTACCTTTTTGAAGAACCAGCTACTGGATTCATTGATTCTTAGAATTGTTCTTTTAGTCTCTATGTCATTTAATTCTGCTCTGATCTTGGTTATTTTCTTCCTTCTACTTGCTCTGGGCTATCTTTGTTGTAGTTCCTGAAGTTCTTGTTAGGTGTAGAGTTAGGTGGTTTATTTGAGGTTTCTATCTTTTTTAGGTATGCCTGTATCACTGATCCTCCCTCTCAGGACTGCCTTCACTGTGTCCCATAAGTTTTGGATTATTGTGAGTTCATTTTAATTTGTTTCTAGAAACTTTTTGATTTCTTCCTTGATCGCATTCTTGACCCATTCACTGTTTATTAGTATGCTATTCAATGTCCATGATTTTGCATGTTTTGGGTATTTTTCCTTGAGGTTTCCTTGAGGTTTTTAGTGTCAGTCCCCTGTGGTCAGAGAAAATGCTTGATATGATCTCAATAATCTTGAATTTGTTGAGGCTTGTTTTGTGTCCAATCATATGGTTTATTTTTTAAAATGTTTCATGTGCATTTGAAAAGAGTGTATATTTTGCTTCTATGGGATGAAGGGCTCTGTATATATCAGTTAAGTCCATTTCATCTAGGGCATTGTTCAATGCTACAATATCTTTGTTGATATTTTGTTTGGAAGATCTGTCCGTTTTTTTACAGTGGGGTGTTAAAATCTCCTACTATAATTGTGTTGCTATCAATATCTTTCTTGAAGTCCTCCAAGATTTTCTTTATGTATTTGGGTGCTGCAGTGTTGGGTGCATATATATTTACTATGTTTATGTGTTCTTAATGGATTCTTTTCTTGAGTATTATGAAGTGACCTTCTGGGACCCTTTCTAAGGTCCCTTTTTGGAAGTCTATTTTGTCTGATATGAGTATTGATACCCCCACTTTTTTTCCTGTTCATTTGCTTGGAAAATTTGTTTCCAGCCCTTCACTTTCAGTCTGTGTTGGTATTTTGTTCTGAGGTTGGTCTCCAGCAGGCAGTGTGTGTGTGGTTCATGTTTTCTTATCAAGTCCGCTGTTCTGTATTTTTAATTGGGACTTTTATCCACTTATGTTTAAGATTATTATTGACAGGTGCTTATTCATTGCTATTTTTCATACCTGTGTTCCTCCCTCTTTCACCATTTTTCTTCCTGTTCTTAAAGCAAACCTTTAGCATCACCTGCAGAGCTGGTTTGGAGGAGGTAAATTTTTTGAGGCTTCCTTTGTCCAGACTACTGCTTATTTGGCATTCCATTTTAAATGAGAGCCTTGCTGGGTCAAGTAGTCTTCATTGCAAACCTCTTGTTTTCATTACTTCAAATATTTCTTTTCATTCCCTTCTGGCTTGGAGCATTTCCATTGAGAAGTCAGCTGCTAGTCTTATTGGGACTTCCATGTATATTACTTCCTGTTTTTGCTTTGCTACCTTTAAGATTCTTTTCTCTGTCTTGGAATTTTGCCATTTTAATTATGATATTTCTTGAAGTGGGCCTCTTTGGTTCCTCTTGATTGGGACTCTTTGCATTTCCTTGATTTGGATGACTTTTTCTCTCATCCAATTAAAGCAGTTTTCCATCATTCCTTTTTCAAATAGGTTTTCTATCCCTTGCTCTTCTTCTCCTTCTGGTATACCTATTATACGATTATTATTACATTTCATATTGTCTTGTATTTTCCTTAATCTTCTTCATTCTTTCTGAGCCTCTTTTGCTTTTCTTGCTCTTTCTCGGTGTTTTTTCTACCTTGCCTTGCAGGTGGTTGATCCA